CTCCGTCTCCTCCTCCTCCTCCTCCTGATCCTCCTCCCCCTCCTTCTCCTCCTCCTCCTCCTCCTCCTCTTCCTCCTCCTCCTCCTCCTCCTCCTCATCCTCCGCTTGGCCTCGGTCTCGCTCGCAGCGTCGCTCGTTACAATGTGTTTGCTTTCTCCACCCTGATGTATGTTGGCCAGTTCTATCGCCCCAGTGGCCACATGTTGCGGGTTGAAGCATCTGCCCATCAGGTCTTGTGCGCAGCCCCGCGCAATGCCTTCTCGTCTGGCCTCCTCTTGTCCCTATCGCAGGTTGGTTTTCCCGTCGAGGCCCGGAGGCTTTGGAGGGAGGCCCGGGCTGCCCAATTCAGATGTGCGGCCGCCTCGCCCGCATTCCATCGGATCAGGGCTCTCACTGCGTCGGTGGCTGATGACCCTGAGTGCCTTGTCACATTCCGGGCGAACCCCTGGTTCCAGAGCTCCATTTACTCACACATGGAATCCACGTATACTAGCCTGTCTGCTCTTTGTGGCGCTCCGACTCTCCCAACTGTCGGGCTTCAGAAAGCCACGACAAAGCACCTTAAGCAACATGAGGGTCTGGAGGCAGCCGCCACCATCGGCAGGCGCATTCGGAAGTATATGCCCTGTACCGACGGCATGCTGAATTGCCTTGTGTCGTCTCTTGCTCTGATTGCCAAGCAGGTGCCTCCGTGTGTCATGGCCTCCACCCTTCGCACCCTTGTCAATGGATGGTGCTGTTCTGGTTGGTTTTCGGAGCCTCTGAAGCCATGCCTCTTCTGCGGTGCGCCCCGGCAGGATTGGCTCGCACACTATGTCATGTGCCCCAAGATTTGCCGGTTTGTCTTCCCCCTTCTTCCTCGGTTTCCTCCCTCGTTTGTCTCTTGCCTCGGCCTCGCCCGTCGCTGCTTCGCCCCGTTCCTGCCTCTGCCGTTGCCTCAGCTCGTCTCTATCGCTGTTTATTACGATCTCACTTGCACGTGCTACCACAGTTTCCGCCACGCGGGGGGGGGGTGAGGGGGGCCCGCCTGGGGTCGGCAGCCAGAGCTCGACTGTCGCCGCTTTTCAGGAAGGCGCCCGCCCTCTCGGATCTGGTCCAGTAACCCTCTAGCTCGGTGTGGCGGGGAGCGGGGGCAAACATTGACTTTAATTTTTGCTCGCCTTTGCACTCTCTGATGAAATTAGGCGGGAGGTCCCAACATAGCAGGTACAGTGCATAGCAGCAGACAGAGCGCTGCGTAACAGTTTGTCCGCCCCGGGCTCCTTGTTCTCCTAAGCAGTGGCGAACATTTGCACATATATTGTCCGCCCAGAGGGCTTGTGTGATATAGTAGTGTACTACCCCGGGATGCCCGGACACTTTAATGCAAGAGTAGTTCTCTGTATTGCGTGGTGGTCTTCGTCCTCGCGCGGGAAAGCCTCCTTGAGGGGCGCGGATTTCTCTTGCCCCTGGACGGGCGGCGTTCTTTGCGTTCGTGCTCTTGTCCGCCCTTCTTTCTTGGCAGTGGCGCTCCTCCTCCGCCTCCTCCTCATCGACCCTCCTCCTCCTCATGCCCCTCCTCTTCTCTCCTCGATCCTCCTGCGCCTCCTCCTCCTCCTCCTCCGCCGCCTCCTTTCTCATCGACCTTCCTGCTTCTCTTCTTCTCTCCTCGATCCTCCTGCGCCTCCTCCTCCAGAATCGGCCTGCCAGCACGTGCACCGGATATTCCGTACGGCCAGTCTGAGGTAGAGTGTCGAGGTGGGTTCTGGAAGGATGCCTTAGTGGTCTTCGTGTTTGTTGGATGTTCTTGTGCATCCTGGGGGAGGGTACCCTCGAGTGTTCTTCAGATTGGCTGGCGGGGGGGTTCGTTCTCTTGAAGGGTACTCTTTTGTCCTAGGTCCGGCGGTACGGAATCGGCCTGCCGGCATGTGCACCATAGGAATTCCTTATCCGTCGATGGTCCCAGGCACTCGATAAACAGACGAAGGCATGAATATCAACTTGTTACGGTCCACGCGGATTTCTTGGATCTGTGTTGGGCCCCCCTGGCGGTGCCTCCGGCGCCGCCCCTGGCGTTCTCCGTCAGCTCTGACCAGGAGCAGTCGAAAACTTGTTTATTTCTAGTTTCTAGGATCCTTTCAAGGTCTCTCGGAGCTGACTTCTTCAATGGCCCCAACCCGCGCGTCGCGCCAGCCTCGCGTTCGCAATGCCATGGTTTCTAGCTGCGAAAAAGGTCGCCCCCTAGGCTTGGCAATTGTTGCCGCTCCTTGGCAGCTCTTTGCAGTGCTTTGCGTAGCTTGGCATTGTTTGGCACTGCTTGACATGTTTCAAGAACGGGTTCGGGGACCCCCTCTGATTTCGAGCACCCCAGACCATGTTTAGAAAACTTCAGGGGGAGGAAGCAGGAGGAGGCAGCAGGAGGAGGAGGAGGAGGAGGAGGAGGTCCACGAAATGGTGAAACATCGGGAGACCTACCGAGAGGGGCAGAGGGTTTGGATGAGGGGGACAGGGGAGGAATGGGGGGACCATCGCGTGAGACTTATGCCGAAAACGTCCGCACAGCGTCCCAGAGGGAACGATGGAGGGGAGGGAGGATGAGCAGCAGGAGGGACGCGTAAGAGAGGTGAGGCTGAGGTCCCACGTGTGCCGCACAAGTCCTGGAACAAATTCCACGAGGGAGGAAAGGAGGAGGAGGAGGTGCCAGGCGACGGAGCAGGATGCAGGATGACGGCCGGGAAATCCCTATATTGACGGAAAGCGGGGGCGGCAATGAGATAGAAGAGATATCGGTGGCGTCCAAATAAAGAAGCCTACAGGGTTGGGAAGGAAGAGGACGACGAGGAAGGAGGATGACGAGGGGGGAGGACGAAAATGTAGGAGGACGACCAGCGAGGAGGAGGACGAGTAGGACGAGGATGGAGGAGGACGACGACGGAGGAGGACGAGGAGGACGGAGGCCGACGACGGAGCAGGACGAGGAGGAAGATGAGGGAGGAGGGCGACGGGGGAGGAGGACGAAGGGACTGAGAACGAAGACGGAGGAGGACAACGAGGGAGGAGGACAAGGAGCGACGAGGATGATATGCAGGGGGATTCGAGCACGACCACGAGCGGGCCGCCGCGCGGGCCAAAGCGCGCGGGGTCTCGAGCACGACCACGAGCAGCGGCCCACCACAGCGGCCGACAGTGGACCCTTGGAATTCATCCAGCAACCTCTCTGGGGCAACCCCGGGATTCATCCGAAAACCGCCCCTGGGGGTGCCCCAGGCTTCATCCCAAAACTGCCCCCGGGGGGCCGCCGAAACGAAATCCAAATCAGTTCCGGGAGCTATCCCAAAAGCCTGATTCAAAAACGAATCCGACCACTCGTCCAGTGCTTTTGTGTTGCATCTTGTACTGAACCGTCCAGGATTTGGATGAGTTTCTGGATGAGGCTTCCCAGAGCTATTCCGAAATCAGTTCCAGGAGCTATTCTAAAAACCTGATTCAAACAACTAATCCAATTATCCCGGCAAAGCAACCTAACAGCGATATGTAGGAGCACATCTGGAAGCATTCCCCTTAAGATTCAGATGAGAATCCTGTTGTAGAAGTCTGCTGTTCTCGCAGTCGTAGTCGCATTCGTGATGGCAGTCGCAGTGGCAACGGCAGTCGCAGTCACAGCCTCAGCCTCAGCCTGCCTCAGCCTCAGCCTCAGCCTGCCTCAGCCTCAGCCTGCCTCAGCCTCAGCCTCAGCCTGCTTCAGCCTCAGCCTCAGTCTGCCTTCAGCCTCGGCCTCAGCCTCAGCCTGCCTCAGCCTCAGCCTGCATCAGCCTCAGCCTCAGCCTCAGCCTGCCTCAGCATCAGCCTGCCTCAGCCTCAGCCTCAGCCTGCCTCAGCCTCAGCCTCAGCCTGCTTCAGCCTCAGCCTCAGTCTGCCTTCAGCCTCGGCCTCAGCCTCAGCCTGCCTCAGCCTCAGCCTGCATCAGCCTCAGCCTCAGCCTGCCTCAGCATCAGCCTGCCTCAGCCTCAGCCTCAGCCTCAGCCTGCCTCAGCCTCAGCCTCAGCCTGCTTCAGCCTCAGCCTCAGTCTGCCTCAGCCTCGGCCTCAGCCTCAGCCTGCCTCAGCCTCAGCCTGCCTCAGCCTCAGCCTCAGCCTCAGCCTGCCTCAGCCTCAGCCTGCCTCAGCCTCAGCCTCAGCCTGCTTCAGCCTCAGCCTCAGTCTGCCTTCAGCCTCGGCCTCAGCCTCAGCCTGCCTCAGCCTCAGCCTGCATCAGCCTCAGCCTCAGCCTCAGCCTGCCTCAGCATCAGCCTGCCTCAGCCTCAGCCTCAGCCTGCCTCAGCCTCAGCCTCAGCCTGCTTCAGCCTCAGCCTCAGTCTGCCTTCAGCCTCGGCCTCAGCCTCAGCCTGCCTCAGCCTCAGCCTGCATCAGCCTCAGCCTCAGCCTCAGCCTGCCTCAGCATCAGCCTGCCTCAGCCTCAGCCTCAGCCTGCCTCAGCCTCAGCCTCAGCCTGCT